CCTGCTGAAGTAAATGAGACAGCAGATGCACAAAAGCAGAATCCAAGGGCAGTTTCCTCACTCTTCCTTTTCCCCTTCTTCAAGCCACATGGTTCTCCTTCCTCTCCTGAGCCAGTCCTAGCATTCACAACCCAGTTCAACTCATTCACCCATCTGAAGGCTTTCCTCTTCCCCCCTCCTCCGACTTATTTTCTTTAACCAACCAAAAGGAACTTGCAATGGGTAAAGGACATACTGGGGAAAACCGCTCCCACTTCTAGGCACCTGCGAGCTGCTAGACTAGCCACTTCCATCTCCAGGTAGTTCCATTCACAGGGCCTCCTGTGCTACCAGCACTGTCACTGCCTTCTGGGGATTACACAATGGGTTCATAAGCTACCAACTAGCACCAGTAGTACCCATGCATATTGTTTTCCCAGTGTGTATAAAGCGCCGAAAAACTCAATTAGCCAGAATGAGAATACAGCAGCTCCTTCCCCCTTAACTACGAATCCTGGAAGCAAAGTATGTGCAGGTCACATTTTAATTATATTCTCCCAAGCCCATTGGCAATAAACTGTAAATGTTGCCCACTCAAAAGAACAAAGGGAAGAAGCTGCATGGACCTGAGAAGCAACCTAGGACAAAAACTGAGCAAAAGGGTTTAAGTATATCTTATTGCAGAAAAAACATACGGACTTCAACCAGCTGGGAAAAAGGACAAACAACAGAATTTCTTCTTTGATACTCAGCAGTCTCCTACAGCAGAAATACAGTGTTAGAGGATTTTTTATTACTGGAGCCTTAACAAAATGCTTACATGACTCTTCTATTTCACTATGTACATCAGCTATAAAAAGCTAAAGATATTATAATTTTCTCTTTCCTTTCCTTATACCACTTTTTTTTTCCCCTCCATGAGAAACAGCAGAATTCCTACAAATTTGTCCAGGAGATCAGGAAGATAACAGTGTTTTAGGCTGCAGCTGGAGAGCTGTTTTTACAAACTAGTGCCAATAAATATTTATTTAAAAAAGAAAAGCTTTATTTCCTTAGAAATTGACATCTTCAGGAGATTTGAAAGGGAAAATTTCAATTTTTTAACATTTGAGAACAGTTTTTTTTTAACTCATGATCATATATTGCATATCATATAATGTGGATATTTACACTGATATACAAATCATCAGTGATATCATATGAAACCATACTTACATTTTAAATTTCAGAATTTTAGCTTTCTCTTAAGATTTTGGTAACTCCACAGAAAAAAAAATAACACCGATTATGATTTACAGCATCACTTGGTCTGCACAAAACTTTCGACATTTCAGATAAAATGGTCACAGAGTTGTAATTCACATATGCTTTCTTTCAGTTGTTCTACAAAAGAAACCATTAATTATGAAATATTAATTATGACTACATTCTAAAGACAAACACAGACGACATAAATGAGTACTCTGGCTAGGAGAAAGTAGTGTGTAGCAAGTGACACCTGAAAATCCTATTAAGCTCTGTCTCTCAGAAGTTAGAAGCTGGACCAAGTCACCTTGGGGAGCAGAGACATTTCTCAAGTGCAGAGCAATGAAAATACAAAAGTGAAATCTCAGCTGGAGTCAAAACAAACAAAGGAGATTAAGGGCAAGGAAAAAAGTTTCTGTAAGTACATTGGCAGCAAAAGTAAAGTGCATGTCTGCTGCTTAATGGGGTAGGAAACCTAGTGACAAAGGACATAGGAAAGGCCAAGATACTCAATGCTTTTTTGTCTTGGATTTTGTTGGCAAATTTGGCTCTCAGCCTCCCAATCTATGAGTCTACTAACAAAGTCTGTGGGAGGGAAGCATTATCTACAGTAAAGCAAGGTAGCTAGGAGGCACTAAAGCCAACTGGACACACAGAGGTCCACAGGACTACTTGGGATGTGAGCAAAGGTACTGAGGGAGCTGACTGGAGTCACTCCAAGGTTCCTGTCAATCATATTCAATAGACCGTGGCAATCCAGCAAAATTTCTGATGACTGGAAAAAGACAAACATCACACTTATCTTAAAAAATGCTAAGAAGGAGGATCTGGGGCACTACAGTGCTTGGAGATACTTTTAAACTCAAATGGACAAGGACCTAAGAAACCTGAACTAAACTGGCTCTGCTTTGAGCAGGGAGTTTGAGTAGATGGCTTCCAGATACACCTTTCACCAACATTTTTCTGTGATATCATAATACTTTGTTATCAGCAATAGTAAGGACAAAGACATAAGTAAAAATAAAGATTTCTCACTGTCTAAGCAATAACTACATTAATCCACGCTACCAGTAACACTTATTGGAAGACAGCTGGGAAAATTCAATACCATTTGTGCCTTCTACTGTGCAAATAAAAAATAACAGCTTATACCACTATACCTGGAAGAAAGACATTCTCTGGAGTAATACCTTCCTTTGCTTTTCCATCTTTGTCATGTGTAAACAGCCTTTATTATGTTGGATTTTTCATTAATGGTGTCATTTTTTCTCCAGCATTTTCTTGAAGACTCAAATGATGCTTCATTCTATATTCAATAATACTTATCAAGCAATTGAAAACCCTGAAGTGATTATCAGTTTCTCTGGATTACTGGGAATGTCTGTATCAGTTCCAGTTGTTTCAAAGAATCTGCTGTATCTGCAGTAACCACATGTATGAAGAACAATGAAAACCAGAATGCGAGCTGTACCAACAGCTTCAACATTTGTGATATTTTGAAACTTTGCCCCTTGCTTTAAATACAACTCCTGGCAGCTTCTTACACATTCTTATAAGCAAAGAATGACAAGTTAAAATTCTTAATTTTTTCTTTTTAGCGATTTTAAATATTCAAGGACTACTTCTAATTTTTTGTATCTTTTTTTTTCCTCCCTCTAAGTCTGCATTTGCTCTTTTAAATATTTATAAAGTATGGAAGTTCCACTCAGTAATGATAATAATTATGTTCTGAAGCCGTTCCCAAAGACAATGAAATAATAATTGCTATAAGACTTCTGACTGATTTGGGACAATAATGGAATAATTAAAAAAAACATCTCTTTTAAAACAACAATGAGATATGGAAAGACTTGCTACTATCTAGCTTACTATCAAACTATGACAGAAAATTATTTTCTAATAGACTTTGACATAATAGAATACACTCAACACTAACAATATGGAAGACATAGAAAAAGTGCTATCTATGACTAAGATGTCTAAACTAAGTTGGGGAAGCCCAATGCTCCTGCTTCTCAAAGAAAAGATGATTCAATAAGATTTTTGGAAAAATTCATAAAGAACTGAAATTTAATTGGACTCTAAATATAAATCAACACGTGAAAAGACAGCTGAATTTATTGAAATACTGTATTTTAATAACGCTATTAAGAAGTTCCTTTATTGCAAGAATTTAATAATATAATAATTCCAGAGCACTGGAACAGGCTGCCCAGAGAGGACCTCCATTAATGAGGTCTCCCCTCAGTCTCCTCTTCTGCAAACTAAAGAGACCCAGCTCCCTCAGCCACTCCTCATAAGGCAGATGCTCCACTCCCTTGATCATCTTTGCAGCCCTACGCTGGACTCTCTCCAGCAGTTCCCTGTCCTTCTTGAACTGAGGGGCCCAGAACTGGACGCAGTATTCCAGATGCGGTCTCACCAGGGCAGAGTAGAGGGGGAGGAGAACCTCTCTCGACCTACTAACCACCCCCCTCCTGATACACCCCAGGATGCCATTGGCCTTCTCGGCCACAAGGGCACAGTGCTGGCTCATGGTCATCCTGCTGTCCACCAGGACCCCCAGGTCCCTTTCCCCTACGCTGCTCTCTAATAGGTCATTCCCCAATTGATACTGGAACCTGGGGTTGTTCCTGCCCAGATGCAGGACTCTGCACTTTCCCTTGTTATATTTCATTAAATTCTTCCCTGCCCAACTCCCCAGCCTGTCCAGATCTCGCTGGATGGCAGCACAGCCCTCTGGCGTGTCAGCCACTCCTCCCAGCTTGCTGTCATCAGCAAACTTGCTGATAGTACACTCAATTCCCTCATCCAAGTCATTGATGAATATATTGAACAATACTTTGTAAGCTTGTGCTGAACCCTAAAGGACAAAAAGAGAACAGTTTGCCAAATGAGAGAAACACTCTGAAGTTTGCACTAATTCACCTCTGACCTGAAGCAACTTCTCCAGGAATACTGGTATAATTGATACTGGAAATAGGGCAATGGTAGGACAGATGAACATAACAGGGAAAAAAAAAATCAGACAGATTGTGACCTACGTTTTTCAGACCTCTTTCCTAACTCTCCCTTGCAAAAGTTAGATGCACCTTTAACCCTGCTTAGCATTTTGATGTTCTCGCTTTCCTTAACAATAAAACAACACCCCCCCCCAAAAAAAAAATAAATAAATTAGTTTTTCATTTTTGCTTAGATGAGCAGATCTGAAGATGGAAATGAGACATCTCATAATAAGATTGCTTGGGAGCAATCAAAACAGATAAAACTGTTTAATAGTTCAATAATAATGCCAGGACTGCTTTCACAATGACTCTGGGGCTTTATTCAGAAATCTAGTTGGAACCTTGGCAGATACAAGCTTTTTCTGTCTCCATGTCTGTACTTCGGAAGTTAGGGAAAAAAGAAATTCCCAGGGATTGCACCACATCAATGACTTCTTCAGTGTCTTCTGGTTAGTTATTTGCATATGGATATACACAATCTTTTTAATTTTTCCTGTGATCCTTGTCATTCCTTATGGCACAGGCTGCAAAGACAGTATTTTTTGCAGCTACATCCTTTTTCTATTTTCATTAATGCTTAATTTGTTTGTTTCTATTAAACCTACTTAAGTTTCAAAGTTTAAGATCTTTCTATAGTCATCCTAAGAAATCAATACAGAAGTTTTCACATACTTAGGATGCAGTATTGGGATCTCTGCCTGAGGACTGAGATGCAAAATTGAAAACTGATTTTTGACTTTTTTTTTATGAATTACTACTCAGCAGCTGAGCTACAGTTACTGTCTGTGCATCTGTTCTTAGTTAACTTCAAATGTAGAGTAAAACATGTGTTTGCTTAAAGTACATTTTGGAGAATCAAGAGATTGAGCATTGGTATCTGTAACAGCAACTGTTTAATCAAACCAGCCATTTTATTTGTGGTATGATACATTTAGGTGGTATGGTACGATTAGGTATTTATATGCTAGCCTTTCTGTAGACACAGTGGTTGTGAGTTTGGTCTAAAGGCTCAGAGCTTTCATGT